GCGCCTACCGCATGTCAAGACATCTCTTGCCATTCCACGCACGGCGTAGCTTTTACCTTAGTGTTATTCAGTCGTCATTGGAGTATGCAAGTAGCGCATACGTCCACACCCTCAGTTCTTACTATTTCGATAAGTATGTCCGGCTATTTAACAGGTGTCTAAGAATAGTTTTTGGTTTCGATAACTTTACCAGTGCCTCTCATATTCTTAGCCTATACAATCTCTCTCACATTTCTGTCCGAGTCAATTTGAAGCTTTTTATTCTTGTATTTCGCTCTGTCCATAGCGGCACATGTAGCTCCCTCCTAAAAGAAATTTTCCATACCCGCTCCTCCAGTGCACATACATACGTGTACATGTACATCCTTCAAAGCGGTGAACCCCTTGATAGGCGACAAGCCTCTGGGTCATCCTAATAAAGATATTATTATTATACTACTTCCGTCACTAGGTCCCAAATCTCTTTTTCTCTGGCCTTGCCTTCTGCCCACACTAAAGCTGGTTTTTCTCGTCTTGGCTACATAGGTTCTGATCGGTGGAATATGCTGCCTTCCACTGTTCGCTCTTGTACAGATTATCGCCCATTTGTTCGTTCATGCTTAACCTTTCTAGGGGCTCCCGTAAGAAGACCATAGGTCTGTGGGAAACACCCTAGTAAAATAAATAAAATAATAATAATAATAATAATAATGCCAAAATATGCCAAAATATGCTCGACATAAGCAGAAAGTGTAGATCATTTCGATAAAATTACAACCTTGGAATATTTGTTGGCTTCACGGCTATCATGCTTATGGTGCAAATCAAAACACATGCGGAATAGTGTGGCTGAGGTGTGTCCCCAGCAACCATAGCGATAGTGTTCATCCATGTGGAAATGTAGCTAACGCCTCAACCATTCCAAATTCACCCATAAAAGGCATTTCTGAACGCATTTTGTCCATAATATGAATGTTTTGTCCTCATTTTCTTCAGAATATTTGAATTGTTTTAATTGGTTCTCTTCTCTAAGAACTAGAAACTCACTCTTACTCCCTAAGTGTAACTCATCCACTCTTTTGCGCTCCCCTCTCTTTATTGCTTATTCTGTTTGGCTCACTCTACCCAGAGAAGTTAAGGACCTGACCTCACTCCGCCTGTTTAAGATCCGTGCCGCCCCTTATTTACTACGACATGCATAGCTCATTATCCACATGTCCTTTGCGTCTCTGTGTTTTTCACTGTTTTTATTTGACATTATCTTTCTCTTTCTTTACGGAGTTGTTGCTGTTCATTTTGCTACTCTTTCTTTTTCCCTCCCCTTACTTTTATTTATCGCCGTGGTTGGCAATCACCCACTCTCTTTAACATTGGCCGGTGTTTCCACCGAGTCTTGAGATGTTGTAATAAATATATATAATATAAATTATATGCTGGCTTCATTCCAATATACCGTACTGGTAATATATGTTGCCGCGTAACGCAGGGGGGGGGGGGGGTGCGGCGTAACGCGCGACCAGGCTAGTGCGACAAATTTTCGTTGAGTTCGTAACGCGCGTCCGGCGGGGTGCGGCGATCTTTTCATTGCAGTTTGCACTGCAAAAAAAGGCTGAAAACTGTGAAAGCACGTGTACCGCGAGGTGAAAAGTTCAAAACTGGACGCAGCAGGAAGTCCTGACACTCGCTCTTCCCCTATGTCACTTTCCTTTTGATGATCTTTTTGTGAACAGATCACTCTGATATTTAAAATATACAGTCTTCTATTGATATCGCTGTCGCCCTTTGCCGTCGGGTTTGTAACAGTTGGATAGCAACTGAATTTCTGTGCCTTCAATGTGGATGAAAAGAAAAAATGATGCGGCAAAAGCGAAAAAAAGTGATGCGGCAATAGCAAAAAAGTGATGCGGCAATAGCAAAAAAAGGACTGCGGCAATATAGAAACCTGTGTAACGGCTCCTGTGCGACTTTGCATGTAACGCCCTGCGTGCGGCAAACATGTGCCAATGTAACGCTTCATGGCCATGGCCTCACTGCGGCAACATATATTGCCAGTACGGTATTCCCTTTGTCGCTCAATATGCCATATATGAACTGTCTCACAAAATATGCGGAAATATGCGCAAGCATATTTGGTCGAGGCCTACATTACATTTCCATCGTAGCTATTTCTTTGTCCATCACCACTTTCTCTAGAATTTGTCCGTGACATTTCAATAAAATCTTCGTGAAATGACGTGTCACCTGATTCTGTTTATTGCCATCCTTATAACATCAGTAGCCTGTTGCCGCCATTTTGCAGCGCAAATCTCAAAAGCGTACATGTTCGGGTTTTGCGTACAGCCGCGTGTGGACTGTGGAACACAAAATAATAATTGGTTTTGACGTGCCGGTTGTTTCTACATGTGTAGCTCTTTTAGGCAGCTGGACAGCTGGACAGCTGGACAGATGCTTTCTACAAACACATGGAATTACAAGTCAGCTCCACGGTGTTTGTAACTGGGTAGTAAACAGAAGTAAAGCGGACAATAGGCCTTGGCGGATAATGCTCGAAAAGGTGGCAGATTCTACTCGAAAAGCAGTGAAATTGGCAGAACCATGCAAACCTTATGGCGGGCAATTCCACGAATTCTGCTCCATTTCTTTAGCCACATACCAAACATGCATGAAACTTACCAGAAAAAGTACCGAATTCTGCCAATTTTTCTGCCGGCATTATCCGCCAAGGCCTAGCGGACAACAGAAATTCCATAAAACAAACTCACGTACATATATGTTCGGGACTGGTTTAAGTCTGGCTATTAACTACTGGCTATAGAACATAATATGTCTCATTGCTATCAGGTTTGGCCTCATGTTCTCTGTGCTGCGCTGATGAGTTCACAAAGGACGAAACAGTTGTATCCGCAGATTGAGTAAAACATACAAGTATGGTGGTTAGGCAACATAAAAATTCGATGAAAGTAAAGTTCTTACGGTTCCCTGTAAGAAGGCGATGACGCCTGGTTGGGAATTCCCTAGTAAAATAAGAATAACAAAAAAAACAAAAAAAGGTGAGTGCACTCAGACCACGAGAACAATGAAACAATAATTTTTTTTAACAATAAGAGGGCAGAGAAAGTGTTTTAACTCCGAGTTTCACGCACTAAGCGATCATCAGAAGACAGCAATGAGCAACTCTGGATCAGTATTGGTTTATATACTCACAAAGCAAAGTGTTTAATAATGGCTGCATCATGGTGCAAATCTAAAAGTTGTGAATGGCAGCAGTGCCAAGCGTAAATGACTGCATCATGGAGCAAATGATGCCGCAAATCTACAAAAGTGCGAATGACAGCAGTTGTGAAAGGTGATAACAACTGGAGCTGGTTGTCTCTTTTTTTAATTAGGTGATGTGGATGATTTGAACAATATTTTATGAGTTGTACGGCGTTTCACACTTCAGTCAGCAATTTTTTTCTCACCTTTCTAATGCCTGGGCATCATAACACTAGTCACGCGCCATGAAAAGAGTTAGTTACACGCCGTCAAGGCAGAACGAAGGAGAGGTTGACTTAAATTTATATCCGCAGATTGCTGTAACAAAAGGGGACTGCGTTATAGGGAAATTGAGACGATGGGAGACAGAGGTAGAGACGCAGAGAGAATAGGGAGAGAGACAGAGAGAAGAGAGAAGGTGACAGAACACAATGTCATGGTTATGATTTGAGCATATCGTCCAAAAAATCACGTTTTCCCCTACTTTTTGTACCAAGAGTCCATAACCCAAGAGTATGCAACTGTGATTATGAGTGCATGCATGGCGCGCTGCCTTCATTACGTAACTTGCCTTCATCACGCTCTGAAAGCATGCATCCAAACTCTCAATTTCTCGCACGAGCCCATCCGTTTTTGCTCGATTCGTTCCAGTACCTACACAATCTCTGAATTCTGGTGCGTGAACTCCAGTTCCGTACGAAAGTTCATTTCAAACTAGAGGGAAAGTGCGGTGTTTGATTTTCCGCAGTGCGCGGACTGCAGCTGAATGATGTAATGAAGGCAGCGCGCCGCGCGGTTGGCCCATAGAAAAGAGATCACAGTTGCATACTCTTGGGTTATGGACTCTTGTTTGTACGTATAAAGCCTAGTTCACATTCGACGGGGCCCGACGGGACGCGACGTAAGGATCGACGGGAAGCGACGGGACGGTCGGACGGCGTCCAATGTGAACACCAGGAACGGGAACGCAACCGTACTACCGTACAGATCGGGAAGCAACGGGAAGAGTTGGATCGATCCAACTTTTCATACCGTAGACGGGCGTAGACGGGGACGCAAGCGTACAAAACGGCTGCAATTCGAGTGTGAACAGGAGACGGCGTCGTGCGCCGACTACTCCCGATTCGTACTTGGAAATTTTTAGCATTTCGAACACTGCGCTTTCCATGATAACTCACAGAATGGCTAGCACGACTTGAGTTGAATTTTAGCAACATAAGATCTCATGTCACTTATTGTATTTAGGGATAGTTCAGAAGCGTGACAGACGAACTATTCTATCATTTCCTGGGGCTATTATTTGAATGCCACAACTTTCAGGGCTAATTTTTTGGTCTTCATGAAAAACTGGTATTATGAACTTGATTCCGCTTCTTTCAAGGAGAAGTAATTGAAAAGAAGTCCCGAAAAACGAGAAATTAGGTCCGAAGGTCACCCCGTCACGGACCGTGCCTTATGACTCGCGCCGTTCGACGTTGAACGTCGCAACGACTGCTGCATGTCGTGTCGTACGAATCGTACAGGATTTTACAGCTCACCCCAGCCCTCCCGACAAGCCCTTACGTCCCGTACCGTCGGCGTTGCGTCGAATGTGAACTAGGCTTAATGATGCTGATTAATGTAGCAGATGCTGGAACTGACCGGAGGATATTACACTGAAGGATATTACAGTGATAAAATGAGGTGAAGGTTAAGTACATTTATCAATATGGGTAAAAACTCGTTGCATTAGGCACACCTTTGATTTGTATGCTTCACTATTGTAGGCGGTTCTTCAACCGAGCTGCTCGCTGATGTTCTTGGCCGTGTTAGCCACGGTGATGATGTTGCCTTTCAGCTACTCCCTTAACCCAGGTCCTACCAGCTCCGGGCTGAAACGAGCTGATGCAGAATTCCAAATACGTAAGTAAATATTCGGAAGTTGTGGGAACGGAAAATGGAAAAGTTGGAAGAAAAAATAACCTGTCACCACCAGGAATCGAACCAGGGGCCTTTGCTTGAGGCTAGCAATGCTCCCACCACTGAGCCATGGTGGAGCTGTCATCCCAGCAGAGACTGTTTAATATTAGAGAGGTTCTGCACATGTATATTATATAATATAATAAAAAACCCACTAGTCAGAACAGCAGATGGCTTGATCAGTCACAACTTAAAGTTTCATGCCATCTCAGGCACCCATCCGGTGATATGAACATCAAGAAAAATAACCCACTATTTAAAGCCCAGTATGGCGGGACAAGGATAACAGAAAGCGCTAGGGGCGCTATCAACTCATATATTATAATAAAAAAACCTAATCGATCTACGTACATGTAGCTGCCCTTGACAACTCCGAACGCGGCAGAGCACGGCCAGATTGATCTGGGGAGAGAGTCATACATTTGTACCCCAATCCACTCACGGACCAGCGACATGTACACATGTACGTTATCAAAGCCCTAGGCCTAGGTTATCTACGTACTCTACGTAGACAACTTTCAGTATGTGGAGTGCAAACTCCCGAATTCACGGGAATTTTGCCCGCCCACCGGCGTAAAGCTGGTAAACTTCACGTAGTGCGGAACCTCTCTAGCACCATCAGACTTTGTAAGAAAAATTAGTGTTGATTTTATCTTGATGCCATAGACCTTGTTCGATAACGTGATTTTTTGTACTCCCCTCCAGGGATTTGTCGTAAGCTGGGGCTCGCGTACGTGAAACGAGTGGCAAGAAAGGCCCAGTTCGTACAAGGGATTAGTAAAATACCGGTATTTTTCTACTCCTATGTTCCCACGCCGAGTCCACTGTGCACTGAGTGCAGGTCTCTTACCACCCCCTGGTTCCCGGGACCCCAGTTCACGTGATTGTGACGTTTATCGAATACGGTGGTTAGGGGATTTTAGATTCATATTACTATTAAACGGGTTTATGTGCTAACCAGAATCGTTAAAATGAGGGGAGACCTGCACTTAATTCAACACAACCTGAGCACGCAAGGTAATATTTTCATCTCTATGTCCTGTTTTTTGGACATACAATAATATGAAGCGGACAACACCGAGCGTATTACAGTCTTTAGCAGGTGCACGAAGCTGCAATTATTATTATTATTATTTTTCTCTTATTTTGTGAGGGATTTCCTAACAGGCAATGTTGCCTATCTACTGGGAACCCTAAATGAGACTTTGTGTGAGCGCGAAACAAAGCAGGCGACCCGGCCAGGCGACAAGATGGAGGCAGCGCATTCCACCTGTCGGCACCAAGATACGCAATGGAATGGAAACCATACCGGGAGTGGCAGGCAGGCAAGACAAGAGCAGCTGTAGCTTGGCCCCGGGTTGTGGCAGCAGTACGTGGGCCAGTGCAGCGGGGAGAGAATAGGAGGCTGAGAAGTGGGCTAGATAAACCATGCAGACAGCGAAAGACAAAGACGTATTGCTTGGAATTTAAGCGTTGCTCTAGTGTGTAGATGGTACCTCTTCAATCTCCCTTAGCAGTGTAATATTTAGGATACAATTACATTATTATTATGAAGAAAGGAATGGACAAAATGTTACGAGTTATGAAAATCTGTCCACCAACGTAACCAGATCTTATACAGTCAGCGAGTGCGACAAAATGGCACAAAACTGACAAGGAGTACTGGGACATTCGGCAATCTGACACCTAGCTCCAACATTTCTCCAAGGCGCAAACCAACAACCTTCCAACTTGGAAGGCTCAGGTTCCGAGTTCAAATTTATTATTATTATTATTACAAAAAAATGTGTTATCTACGCATGCATCTACGCAAGAGTCACCACCAGCCAATTAGGACATGTTTCAAAGTATTTGAAAGGCGACGAGGAGACAATAACTTTATTAATGCGATTAATAGTATAAGTGAAGCGGACATTACAAAATGATGAATGAGAATACATGTATCTAAGATGGTTGTTCCTAATCGATTTTCTTGAGACTATCATCAGGGAAAATGGTCTCACAATAGAGGCTATACGGAGAAACAAACTACTTATAGGTTATCGGATAGTGGGAAGTATACAAGGTGAGGTGTGAAAAAAACTAAAGTGGGAGAGAAGACGAAAGAAATTAGAAGAAAAGATGTGAGAGTGTTCTGACGTTGTGAGCTACTACAAAAGGTGAGTGAAATGAAGGCGTGGAAGCAGGTGAATGTGATAGGAATTTCAGTCTCCTACTCAGGAGCGTCCCGTCGCGTCTGACAGACCGATACTGTTGCTTTTAAAAGAACCATATTTCCAGGCTGCGAAAGGACTCTACTATGCAGAGTAGTTCTGCGCTGCAGCAGTTTCCGTAACTCTGGTGTTGCCCCCGGTTGAGGCTTAGGTTTGGGACAGAGGGGTAGTCTAACTTGTTTAGATGGAGCATGCGTATCAGTAACAGCAGCGATAGACGGTAGAAGATGGCGAGGATAATTTGTGTACTGGTTAAGCCACTGCATGTCGCTCCGCTCTCAACTGAGAACGGCAGCTGTGTCCGAAACAGTATTGGTGGCTGTGTGCGTGCTATTTCCAAGAACGTTTCGTTTTGTTCTGCAACACCTCCGGAGCAGACTGTGCACATTTCCATTCACAGTTGTATTTGAGAAACCCAAAACGTTCAAGCGTAAGTGTTTACACTCATGCCTCGGTTATCCGGACTTCGAAGTTACGGGCACTTCGGTCTACCGGGCACTATTTGGGCAAGTTTCAGGGGAAATATTACTACTCTTTTGTCACTTTTCGTAGAAATATTGACGTCATATGCCATATCGATGGCCTTTTCCCCATCAAGATGTATATGATTTGGAGTTACGGGCACCCTCGAAGTTACGGGCAGTGTCCGGTCCCGAAGCGCCCGGATAAGAGAGGTATGAGTGTATTGCGAGCACCAAATAAGTGTATTATTGTATAGCAGGCGGGTCTGTAGGATTCGCAGTTGCTAGTGTTGTTGACGTGTTGTTGTTGTTGTTGTTGTTGTCACGGTAACGTGTCACCGGAGCAGGCTACAACGGCGGAGGGTCAGGCAGAGGCAACGGCACGGCAGCAAAAAGCGACAGTAGGGACCATTAGCAAGCCGTGAAACTACAACGTGAAGGGGGAGCTGGGTTAGAGTCCCGTCCCGTTTGACGAGTTCGGAGGAGTCTACTCGGCATGACCGCAACGGGTCGGTTTTAGTGAAGTACGTGCGATTTCAACCATGATACGGAGAATAGCACCGTAAACCGCGCCTCTTTTGTCTTTGCGAAGCCAGTTTCTCAAATTTCGAAAATGCCTCACCCATTATTGTTGGAATAAATTATGATTGCGAAACGTACCAAACAACCTGTAGGACCATTGATTTTAACAGAACCGTTACTAACATGACACAGAACAGGATCGAGGGCAACCAAAGTGCCAAAAATTAGGCTTGTTCTAGACAACCTTCAGCTTCCTCGCTTATTTTTTTGTCTACTGCCCCGAAACGTACACTTTTTTTTCAAATATTCTCAACTGACTGGCTCCATTGTAAAGGCTTTCGGAGAATGTTTTGGCATGGACCTCGTGAACACAACCCTTTGCTGTACCCATCCATCGGCAATGTGGCTATCACCGGGTTTCTTTTAATTCGGGTAATAGTCAGTCAGGCTGAGCATTATTCTTAAGGGAAAGTTCGCGAAAAATCTTTGCCAGTAAAAATATCAGAAAACTGTTTTCAAATGCAAAGCGGCCGACTCGCGTAGACGGGTTGTGAACGCGAGAAGCTAATCCTAAATCACGCCGTGTTTCACGTGCGCTCCGATGACCTCGTTTCCGTTGACGTTTCACGGCATGCTAATGGTCCCTACTGCCTCAGGCACGGGCCCCCGCAAAATAGCAACGGAGCGTCCGAGGGCTGCAGCAAACGGGTGGGGACACCGGCTCTCTCTCTCTCTCTCTCTCTCTCTCTCTCTCTCTCTCTCTCTCTCTCTCTCTCTCTCTCTCTCTCTCTCTCTCTCTCTCTCTCTCTCTCTCTCTCTCTCTCTCTCTCTCTCTCTCTCTCTCTCTCTCTCTCTCTCTCTCTCTCTCTCTCTCTCTCTCTCTCTCTCTCTCTCTCTCTCTCTCTCTCTCTCTCTCTCTCTCTCTCTCTCTCTCTCTCTCTCTCTCTCTCTCTCTCTCTCTCTCTCTCTCTCTCTCTCTCTCTCTCTCTCTCTCTCTCTCTCTCTCTCTCTCTCTCTCTCTCTCTCTCTCTCTCTCTCTCTCTCTCTCTCTCTCTCTCTCTCTCTCTCTCTCTCTCTCTCTCTCTCTCTCTCTCTCTCTCTCTCTCTCTCTCTCTCTCTCTCTCTCTCTCTCTCTCTCTCTCTCTCTCTCTCTCTCTCTCTCTCTCTCTCTCTCTCTCTCTCTCTCTCTCTCTCTCTCTCTCCGCAAAACAGCCCGACAACAGTGAGTTGTGAATATACGAGTGTTTACCGTATCTAATATTCTCTAAATCCCTGCCTTCCATGCTGTCCATGTCTGTGTGTGTGTTGCATGTGTCTGTGTTGTCCGTGTCTGTTTGTCCGTGTCTGTGTCTGTCTTCTCCAAAATCTGTGTCTCCGCCTAACAGAGCTAGATTGTGAACATTTCCGCACCACCATGTTATGGTGGAATGGCCAGTGCTTTTGCCTGCCGAATTGGAACCTCGTGGGAAACTGCTCTCAGCGTAAGTGATAAGGAATAAATCGCCTCAGGGTCAGATTGCTCCTTTGTTTACTTAAAACGCTTATTACAGGGGTCAAGCTTCTTGGTTCCTTGCTAGGCTCCACAGAGGATGTAGCAGCCAGGATTTGCACAGCAAACCGAGCATTCCGCTCGATAGCATGGAAGCGGCATTCCCTAGACTCACGGTTTTGCATGTTCTCGGTTCTCATTGTTCCAGTTCTTCGGTAAAACTGCGGCCTGTTGACCATTATGTAGCGACAGAATGAACAGCTGAATGTATATGGCAGAGACGAAAGCTCCGTTATATCTTCGGAGTCAACTACCTACATTGCAAATCCTGTATGAAAAATCAAAACTGCAACCAATCAGAAGGGTCTGCAAGAGAAGACGTCTCCTGTGGCTCGGCCATGTTGTTGGTTGATTGGTTGGTTGGATTTATTTAAAGTCGTACAACAAACAGGCATATCTGCCTCCTTATATGAAGACGACTTCTGGCAGTAAAACATTTAAGAGAGCATGTCTGAGAAAACCAGAACATAATTATGTACAAATCGGTCTCTCAGATTTCGCTCAAATTTTGCAGGTAGGTTTGCTTTGGGGTGTAGATCGACATTCCAAAGCCCGCGCAAAAGCTTTTGAAGGGAACCATGAAATTGGCATACCCCTCGATATTGGCCCAATATTGGCACGATTTATGGGTCTAGATTAGACTCTTCAAACGAGCCACGGCACAGCCAGTCCATCCTCAAGCGTTCCATCGAGACTTTCACTGATTTTTGCGATCTTTTTCTTGAGAACGATTCTCACCCTGAAATGACTTTCGGCGACTGACGTGAAAGAACACTCATGACACCCACCTCGTCGAATGGAGCATGCATTGTTTGTGGTCTATGGGTGCAGGAAGGTGGTATGTTCGCGAGGTGCATGACGAAAATTATCCGAATGGCGAAAAGAGCCAGTAACCTGAAAGGAGGGCGTGAACAGGTGTTATTTTCGGTAGTGTGGTTCCCCTCGACCCTGCTCTCGGACATTCCAGTAGTGGTTATGGTAAAGTCGATGGCGCTTCAGGGTTTTCAGACGCATTTCTTGACCATACTCAATTCCGCAGATAAATATGGGCATAGAAAGCACACAAGAGTTCAAACTAACTCCACTGTATTCAGTTCACGTGTTTTCCTCAGATCCAAACACTCCTGGGACCAGGAAAGCTGACAAAACGCTTGAGTATAGACGAGCACAGTGCGAACACGCCCATGCGCCACTCCTTCCCACCCGTGTCGCACATCACATACTGGCCATGTCACGGTGCCGCAGACGTAATGGGTGTGCCCCACACGCGTGCGTTGCACACGTTTGAATCCTACACGCCCAAGCCCAAGTGGAGCACAAACATGCCAAACCTGCGTGCTCTAGATGCATACACACAGAGTTCGTACATGCCGGATACTTCGCAAGTTCGCATACATCACATGTGCGTGCCGCACCGTCGGAGGAATACAAACAAGCACGGGTACGCACCAACAAAGGCTAGCCAGGTTCGCACTCGGTTTCCCTATCAACACTAATTTCTGACTAGGACAGTGCAGTAGCAATAGCCGAAACAGGGAACGCAACACGGGTGGCAGACCAAGTGACATACAGCATAAACAAGACAAACGTACGTTGTACATTCACACACTTTAAACAGTTTCTATACATGTACAGTCACTTTCGCTAATAACGACTGCGGATATAACGACAATTCGCGGATTATTATTATTATGAAATGACCCAAAGGCAATGTGCCTATCGAGGGGTTCATTATTTTGATTGAAAGAACAGTAGATGTAGATGTATGTACAAAGACAAGTAGGGATTGGTGAGGAGAGAAATGGGGAAAATCAACTGCAAGGTGGCGGAATTCCGTTGATTGCATAAGCATGGTCAGCTGTAAATGTCCTGAGGGCAGCTTTGAACTTACAGAGCGAGGCTTCCGATGTTAGACTGGGGGTAAACAGTTCCATAGAATAGCAGTTCGGAACATGAAGAGAGACTTAGACAATGATTTAAATTTGGGAAGAATGATTTTATCTGGTCGTCGCTCACTATTCGTAATCTTGGATAACGACAGAATTTCCATGCCCAGAGCAAAGTCCCCTCCAACTGTGTACATGTACATAATATAATGAGACTTCGGGTATAAGGACACTTCGCCAAAGAGGACACTTTTCTGATGACCCGCCGGAGGTAGTTATGCGCAAAGTTGACTTTTATGTGATTGCATTGATATGCTTGGGTTTCTTTCCTTTTAGGAGAAGTGACGCGTACATGGTATTTGCATAGACCGTTGAAGTTCGTGTGAATCACACAACATGTACACGGCACTTTACTTCGAAGTATATCTTTCAAAGAAACCGCCGTATACATGAGCATGCGTGCGTGCGTGTGTGTGTGCGTGTGCGGGGGGGGGGGGGTATACATGTACGTGTGAAGAGCAGTTCACGCTACAGTAAGACAACACGCGTGCAACACACCCTTGAACTGGAGGGGGACGTGATGTTTCTCGCATCAGGTGGAAGACTAGTTCCAAACGCGTGCAGCAGAAAGAGATACGGGATGAGTTCAGTTGTTCGGGAAGGTCCGGGCACGGCTTCTTATGGCGCAGCCAACCATGGCCGTCGACACGTCAGAGATCAAGCGTCCACAAGGACGACCAAGGCTTCGGTGGATTGATGTGGTGAAATTCGACATCTCCCCTCTTGCCTAGAGTCTTGGACACACGCTCAAGGATTGCCTCAACACTGCACGGGACAAAAAGTTATGGCTGAACTTCGGGACAAATGTACATCCGTGTAAAAAAAGGCATGTACCTGTCATGTAGTAGAACCTGCATATTGTTTTTCGAAAGCTATTTTTCCTGCTGCAATCTGTTTCATGACGAAACAGTTGACAGATGCGTGGAACCCATTATTTGGGTGACACGCGACCTAGTAGTAGTATTCTTTTGTTTATAGTGGAAAAAACCAAAACAGGCAGATGCCTAATAACAATGGACCCACTGTGTAGGGTGGAGGAGGGGGAGACATGGCGAATGGTAAATAGTGGCGGCGAAATAGATCAGTTCCAGCACAGCTCCAGAAGCATGGGCGTAAAGCTAAAAGCAGGCAAGAATGTGTTGCAAAGCGCTTGACTTGAAGGCGGCCAGTTTGGCGACGCCTCGGATATCCGCATTGAGGGAATTCCAGAGAACTGCGCCAGCATGTGTCACAAATTTGGTAGAATGTGCAGAAGCAGCTGCAAGGACGATAAGCAGGTTACTGTTGCCTCATCGAGTTCTTCGACCTGTTTTTATATTATTATTTGAATTCTTTACTCTCACGATGACACCATCGCCAATTGAAGAGTAGGCCTCGGCGGGTATTTGTATTTGTACTTATGGATTCTCCACAGGCCTTAGCCTAAATCGAGGGAGTCTCCGTCGGGTAATGCTAGCATTGTACAGGTCCTCCCTCGTTAGTAGATAATCCCTGGGCCATCGAAAAAGTTATCTTATAACGAGACTTATCTTGTAGCAGGACTTGCAGTTAAAGGTGAAATAGGCACTACTTCGTACTTACCGGGGCTACCCTCGATACAACATAAATTATCGATGCTTCAACTCGTTATAAGATAATTGAAAATCTCTAAGTTACTCCAACATAACTCTTCCTTGAATGCAAAGGATCGTCCATATTCACGAATACATAGACATAATACGTTTCCTCTTTCTGCTTTATCCTACGTGTTTTGGCCTTGGTCCTGCATGGTCTATTATCTTATACTGAGGGTTTGGCACTCCAGGGACCTGGGAAAAGGGTCGTTATAACGAATTTTATGTACTAACGGATTATGTTGTAACCGGACCTGTAAACAGTTGTATAGACCACGTTTCGCCAGGGGATTTCAGATTTCTATTTACTAACGGGGTTTATGTAGTAACCGGACTCGTTATAACGAGGGAGGACCCGAGGCTGTAACTGGAATTACGAGCATCGTTTTGAGAACTAGCAATGCTCCAGCATTGTACCCGGATTTGGAGCCAAAACAAGCATTAGGGCGCGCTCACACTGCGACCAAAACCAGCGTCCATGCGGCCATGCGGCCAAGTTGCATGGCAACGGCATGAACTTGACCAAAACGTCGCGGCCACCAGCAAATCGTGACCGCGACCTCCGGAGGGGGTGCCACGACTTGGCGGCAACATGATCGTAGACGTGAAGCGTATTTGTGTACAACCTGGCCTGAAGTATGTTCAATTTCTCAAATTCCGGTGTGTTGATTCATGAAAATCGGCGGTTGTCGATGTCACCTGGCCATTTGCACATTTTAAAATGTTTGTAGTTGTGGTCCTGCACGCACGCACCGCCATATGCATTCTTTGCCCTTTTTGGACGATGTCGATTTTGTTTTGTTTTTGTAGTTGCTTCGTTGTGATCGGGTCAGTGACCAATTTCTACAGTGTACTCGTTCAATACGATGGCAGCTTGGTCTGGCTTTTCGGTTTCGGAAATCATCTTTCTCTACTTTTCTGCGATGATGGAATGCCGTACCTCTTGACATCAGTTTCAGTTACATATCATCGTAAAATACAGTTCTCGTCTCGGCAACAGACGAAAGAAACCACTACTGGAATTTCCACTGCACTGGCACTTGCTCTGACCACGAGGTCAGGAAAGCGAAAGCGCTTGGATGTCAGCGGCAGTCCCTGAAGAGTCCAAACCTACCTGATAATACGGAGCATCAGCAAATCGAATATTCGAGTGAAATTCGAGAATCGTCACGAAAAGCACTCAATCAGTCGAAACTAGGGCTTTGTTCGACTGAAAAATGCCCGCAAACAGAAAATACTTTTCGAATACTTTTCGAATGCTCCGCGCGTGCTCTGGTACACGGCGCACTACAAGTACTCATTCTTGCGCATGTAGCTAAAAATACTGGACTGCGGCCACTGCGCTACATGCTGAACCTCTTTTTCATTCGAAT